CTTAGAGACTACCTGAAACAATCCTTGGTTTCCAGTCTGAGGAGTGAGTTCTCAACTGAGAGGTGAAGAGGATGACATATACCTCACAGTTTTTGTGAGAATTAAGTGAGAAATGCAGACCAAAACATCAGATGCAGATTAGAAGCATGGTGAATGGCAATTGAATGCACTACATTGAAAGCAGCTTCTGGAGAGCAAAATAACAGTTCTGATCTCTGCCTATCATTCTTTCAGGGAGGAACAGGTAGGAGGAAGCTTGGAGTTATTATTTCCAGTGTCTCTATAGGATAAGCACTGGACTGCTAAACACAAGGTCAGCAGTTCCGCTAGTGGAAATTTGAACAAGCCATGAAACTTTTCTGAGCGTCCGTCCTTTGTAAAATGAGGTCATCAGTACTGTACTGCTTGCCTCATAGTGATATAAAGTGGGATGACAAAAAGAGAAAAATGGTTTTACATATACAGAAATTTAGGGTAGGTGAAAAGCAACATGCATTGAGATTTATAAATTAGGCTTACTGAATCACAGTTTCACAAAAATCCTCACAACTGGACAATGAATAACATAATGATTGTTGTCGTTAAGTGCCGTCAGGTGGGTTCCAACTCACAGCGATGCTCTATGGTTTTCCGAGGCTATAAATCGTTGTGGAAGCAGAAAGCCTCTTCTGTCTCCTATGGAGTCACTGGTGGACTCAAACTGCTAACCTTGTGATTCGAAGTCCAGCATTTATCTTCTAAAGCCACCGTGCTCCCTAACGTCATAATAAACTGAGAAAATATTGAAATTGTCAAAAACAGCATTTTTACTTGGATCCACAGTCAAAACTCATGGAAGCAGCAGTCAAGAAATCAAACAACGAATTGCATTAGGCAAATCTTCTGCAAATTGTATCTTTAAAAGTCTCAGGAGCAAAAATGTCACTTTAGGGACTAAAATACACCTGACCTGAGCCATGGTATTTTCAGTTGCCTTATATAGAAGGCCATAGAAGAATTTATGCATTTGAATTATGGTGTTGGAGAAGAATATTAGAAGGACCATGCACTGCCAGAAAAACAAGCAAACCTGTTTTGGAATATTTGTTTCCAAACCCTTGGAAGCGAGTATGGTGAGACATCATCTCTCGTACTTTGGACATGTTCTCAGGAGGGACCGGTTCCTGAAGAAGGATATCATGCTTGGTAAAGTGGAGGGTCAGAGAAAGAGGAAGGCCTTCGGTAGGGTAGATTGACACCATGGCAGCAGTAGTAGGCTCAAATGTAACAATTGTGAGGATGGTACAAGACTGGGCAATGTTTTATTATGCTATGCGTAAGGTCACTGTGCATTGGAACCAACTCGACGGTGCCTAGCACCAACATGAAAACCTTACAGTAAAACTTGTGCCCATCTTCTAAATGATTTCTGAATTTCACACTACATTGTTCTCTCCAGTAGTCCTGGTGTGGCACTGTGGGTTAATGTGCTGAACTGCAAAGTCCGTTTGAACTGCAAGGTCTACAAGGTCGACAGTTCAAGCTCACCAACTGCTCCTTGGAAATCCTATACAAGGTCTCTATGAGTCAGAACCAACTCGATGGCACTTAACAACAACATTCTTCTCTCTTATAGGGGGAGGAATACTGTAAGCCTATGTCTATCATCCACACTCATTCCCAATGGGCTCAGTTCCTTTCTCTTACCTGTTTTTGGTCATCAAAAATAGGCAATCTGTTATTAACAGAGATCAACTTGGGCTGTGTGGCAGTTGTACCTAGGTTTGGTCTCCCACATCAGTAGATGAGTCTAGTTTATGCAGTCACAGAAATGAAAATAGAATAAGGTTTTCTAGATTCTGCAACCTTAACAACTACCTCCAAGCTCTTTATTTCATAAATGCCACATCTCTTGCATTTGGGAGAATCCTAGAATTCTTCCTATTCAGCCCACTCAGTTTTCATATGGGAAATTGGTCACAGTGATCTGAGAAAAGAAAAGGCTAAAGCTCCTACAAAGTAGCTGCCAAGCCCACTGTTACTTTACCAGTTACTCACAGGGAAAATAAAATCGGGCACTTCTCCCAGAGAGCCCTGTTCACTGTGAAATTTCCCCTTTGATTTCTCACTATTCTTTGCACAGAACCAGACGTGGTTTTGTTTGTTATAGGTATACCATCATGTGCTTTCAGTACTTTTCACTGAGAAATGGAGTTGGGATAGTCATATTTGAGTTCAGATCATTACGTCTTACTTTTGGCTGACTTTATGAGGGGTTTATTCTATATTTTTCTTAAAAAAAACAAACTGGATTAGGAACCAAAAACACCTAGGTTCCAGTCCTAGTTTTAATTATAATTCACTGTGAGAACTAGACATGGTCAATTATCTTCTCTGGGCCTCAGTTCCTCTACTTCTAAACTATAATAGTCCAGAAGTCTAATAAGGCTGTGTGATTCAGTCGGAGTGAGTGCTCTAAGAATACACCCAGGCATTCTATTATGTCAGATCGGGTTGCCTGATGTTGTGTCAGGCCTCAGGAAAGATACATCCAGACTAGGGCTCCAGGTGAGCATGGGCCTCGGCATTGACAGGGAAGAGAGTTACTGTGACTTGGGAGCTTCATCCAGCACAGTCATTGAGAAAGCTTGTGGCCACACTCCTTCTCTGTATACTAGGTGAGGGTCCCTAGTGTTAGCACCTTTGGGTAGTTTAGACCCACCAGCCACTCTTCAGAGAAAGAGCTTGTAATATGTTGCTGTAAATATTTCAGCCTTTGAAACCCTATGGGCAGTTCTACTCTGTCATATTAAGTCACTATGAGTTGGAACAGACTTGTCAGAACACAACAACAACCATTAAAGGCATGGTAAGAAGTAAGAGTGCTGGATCTAGCTGTCTGGGCCTCACAAAAAAGTCATACCTATGGCATGAAAATGGAGTCCTGGTGTGGCGCTGTGGGCTAAGGTGTCAGACTGCAAAGTTGTTTGAACTACAAGGTCAGTAGTTCAAGCTCACCAGCTGCTCCTTGGAAACCCTATACAGGGTTGCTGTTGGAATGTACTTGATGGCAATTCACAACAAGCACAACATGGCATGGGAGAAGCCTTCCTCTCCAGGTACTCCAAGGAACCAATGAGAGTGAAAGGTGCAATGACAACATCAACAAGACTGTAGGAGTCACCAGGTCAGAAATATGAAGGTCAGAAAAGTGATATGAGTGGGACAGCTTCAAGATCGCCTCTGTGGATCAACAGCTGTAACTGTATGTCCGTGGACATGACAGTGTTCAAAGCACCAAGTTGGACTTTTCGGCCCTAAAAGCTAAGATGTTGAATCAGCCTTGCCTTGTTTCGCTTTCTGTCTTCCTCTTTCCCTTATTTTTCCAACACCTGAGTCGGTTTTGACCCATAGCAATCCTGTATAGTATATATATAATATATATATTAAAAAACAGTCTTCTTTTATGTTTTGGCAATCACTTTTAGTTGTAAAACCTGACCCAAAGTGACAGAAGGCTAAGAATATTTACATATATTTTTTGACAAAAACATTCATGCGTTTGATGAGAGGATGGCTCCATAGACCCTGCTGTTTTATGTTTGCAGTTTCTAGAAGATATATCTTACCTTATAAAACTCGAAGAGTTCTAAATTCCAAGAATATCTGGCCCTAAGAGTTTTAATAAGAGATCATGAACTCATGAGTTATTTTCCTTGGGAGTCTCTGGGAGGCACAAAGGTTAATGGCAGTGGGATAAAGCACTGGACTGCAAGGTCAATTTGAACCACAAAGTTGGCGATTCAAACTAAGTCGGTAATGCAAACTCACCAGCTGCTCCTTGGAAACCCTCTTCAGGGCGGCTATGAGTCGGAACTCATTAACTCAATGGCACTTAATAATAACAACTAGCAGAAAGGGAGCCTGGTGGTTCTGAAGAATAAGCTCTGGACTGTGAACTACAAGGTTTGAGCTTTGAGACCACCAGTAGCTTCGCAGGAGACTTTCTGCTCCTGCAAAAATTTACAATTTACAGCCTAGGAAACCCTGTACAACTCTGTGAGTTGGAACTGACTCCTTGACATTTAACAGCAACTAGCAGAATGGCTGGTATGTTCTAATCCATCCATCCAGGGGGACTAGGGCACCTGGAAAGACAGGCCCAGAGATCTGCTTCCCAAAGACCACAGGCCTTGAAAGTACTACGGTGCAGTTACATGGTGCACTCATGGGGTCAACAGGAATCAGCCTTGACTCAGGGGCAACTAAAAACAACAAACAGTACTAATCCCTGTGGAAATTGCTGCTTCCTCCTTTATAGAGAAAACAAAGTTGGGGAGGGGAGAAGCCAAACAACCGTGTAACTGATAGCTCTCTTGTAAATTAGGTGGAGCTGAAGCTTTTCAGGCCTGGGTTTTCAATAGAATAGATGTTTTGAAGGACAAAAAATCTGGATCTCTACCTTTCCTCCAATTAAAATTTTTAAAATCCAATTTCTCTGGGGAAACTGCATCATCTTTGCCTCCCTCTGTGGCAGTCAGAGCTGTGAAAAAGCTCATCAGAATGTGCATGTGACGCACGGAACCAGAGCGCCACCTTTCCGCCGTATTTGGAATTGAGTCTTCACACTACCACTGGCTTTTTTTTTTCCTGTTAAACCGTTCAGTAGGCAAGACTCTGCAAGAAAACAATCCCCTGTGGGATGTCTTGACACTCATATCATAAAGGAAGAGCTGCAAAGAGGGCAAGAAAATATGTTTTCTTCTCTTTGGTCCCTAAGCAATTAAATTGGTAACTTAATGTGATTTTAGGGAGTGTGGGCCATAAACCCTATGTTTAATTAGTTTGCACCCTGCCAGTCATTGTACACACTAGACATTTTCATTTACAACCTGCTGCATTGCAGCACTCTTTCAGGCCTTCTGCTATGGAATGAGTTATTCCTCTAGCTGCTCGGACTTTAAAAATGCACATGCACTCTCTTAGTTCAGATTTTTTTTGTCTCTCTTTCCAATTTTCAGTTGCAAATCAAACATGCAGTTACAGAAGCTGAGATTCAAAAATTGAAGACAAAGGTAAGAACCATTATATAGTACCTAAATTGTACTTTTTAAACTCCAGATACTATGAATAAATTCAGCCCTAGGACTAAAGGATTTTTCCTGTGCGTTTAAAAGAATACAACTGCTAGCGATTCATTTTCAGTGTCAGATGTGCAGAAGAACCTACCAGAAAGAGCAAGGATTCCCATCCTCAGTACAAATAGCTTAGTATTTTATGACATAAATGTTTACATAATTGCATATATGTATTCAGTTACATCTGAACTTGCCTGGAAAATGATATTTTAATGGTTCAAGCAGCTAAATATATTTTGATCACTTAAACCACAAGCACAAGCTATTATTACCATCTTTCCTTCGCTTTGTTTGTTGTTGTTGTTGTTGAGTGCCGTCCAGTCGGTGCCTACCCCTAGCGACCCTATACTTTAATTTAAATAGATTTCATCGTTTGTTTATTTTTAACTTAATTTTCAAAGACAGTATGTTGTAGTGACAGCTCAATACATTGTTTTTGATAGAAGAAAATGTCAAATTTCTACTAAGTTCAATATGGATTTAATACATTATAATACTTACACCCATTGAGACATTTTAAACTCATAGCTACTACATACCATGCATAATTGATTTTAGGTACAGGAAATCTTTAGACAAATTCACATTATTTAAATTAGTGAGAATAAAAACATCTTGAAAAAAGGGAAATATGGAGCGTAATGGAAGATTTAAAAGGGCATTTTTATATGACATATAGTAAGCTCTGGGAATTGTGTCTAGTTTTATCAAGTCAGTAATTTCAAAGATTTGAAAATATCTTTTGAATTACTTTTAAAGCCTTATCCTTTATTGTTTTTATGGCCTTTTAAGAATTAAGACTTCAGTTCTTCCCCTACCACTAACGATCTGTTTTCCTGTTCACACTGAACACTGTTTTGGTTTTTCCATGTGTTTTAAATGAAGATGAATTAGCAAGACTATTTTGGTTAAATGGTACTCTCAGTTAATCCATGCTCTAGTTCTTTAGTCAAAGCATGCCTATACATCATTCCTGGTGTCAGCCCAGCTCTGTGAATAATAATTTTTTAAATGAGTAGTGACCGGTAAATAAACAACTTGAATACAAAACATTGCTTATTAAAGGATGCACATAAAATGAAGCCTGCTTTAAGTTGCTATTATTTTTTACATAAAAAAGAGAATAGAAATTTTGTTTTGTTTTTTTAAATCATTAGTTGGAATCAGGAAAAAAGATATCCCTATGATTGTAAGTGCTTTAATGGAGCTTTTGTCTTAGATTATAAACATTTAATTTAGGAAAGCCTGTACGCTCATATTTATGTTTTTCTCATTATATCACATACAATGGTCATTAGTAAAATTAGTTTTTTACTAATAATGTTGTTGATTAGATTTTCACACTGTAGCCTGTTTAACCAGTGTATTTAGTTAAAAAAAAATAAGCATATATGTGTGTGTGTATATATATATTTAAGTATTTACATATGTTGAGCACTGTATGGTTTTAGAATATCGTGGATTTTGAACATTGGTAGTTTCTAATGACTTTGCATCTGTTTGAACTTTAATAGAAACATATGAAGTAAATGAACTCTGGTAGCATAGTGGTTACATGTCTGGCTGCTAACCTCAAGGTCAGCAGTTCAAAAGTACCAGCCGTTCCACAGGACAAAGATGGAGCTTTCTGCTCCCACAAAGATTTACAGCCTTGGAAATCTTATAGAGGGTCACTGTGAGTTGGAACTGACTCCATGGAACGTAACAACCAACAAATGAAGTAGATGATGCAGTGGAGTGAGGTCAGACAGTTGTTATGATTAAATGATCTTTGATCCTTCACCTAATGGCTCAGCCTTGAGTTTCTGTAGAAATTTGGGGGTTGAAAGAGTATACTATCTACTTCTTGAGTCCCTGGAAGTAGAAACTAGTAGAAGCTGCTTTTTGTCTTTTGGGGGCTTTTTTTTCATTAAAGCAGTTTGAGTAATACAGCAATGATATGTATTTTAATTTAGATTATCTTTTATACTTTTATGCAAGTATGTTATTTATTAGGCTCTGCAAGGTCAGCAATTCAACCCCACAAGCCACTCTTGGAAACCCTATACAGGGTTTCTATGAGTCGGAATCATCTTAATAGCACACAACAACAACAAGAAAATCATAACACTGCCAGCAAAATCATGAGCCTCAGACTATCTTCATGCCATTTGAAGGGAAGGTTTAATAATATCATCAGAAAAGTTAAAAGCAAAGTAAAAGACATTCATCAGATGATAATGTCCAAAGAGCTGTCCCATTCACGCTAGTGTGTCACATCACAATTCTGTTTCATGTCTTAGAGAAGAACTTCAGTTACTTATGCAAGATTAAACAGTCAACAATGACAGAGCGTGGGGATTCAAATCTAAATGGAATGACTTCAGAGTTCCCCTTTTAAAGTAGGCCATACTGCAGCCCAGTTCATCCCTCCCTGCCTCTCCCTACCAGTTAATTAAAAATATATATCATTGCATATATATGTGTGTGTGTGTGTGTATATATATATGTATATATATATATATATATATACATATATATATACACACACATACCCACACACAAATATGTATGTATTAAATCCAGAGAAAATATGTATGTATTAAAATCCAGAGAAAATGTGTTGAATTCTACTAGATATAATCAGTCAAACTCTAAAATGTGTTTTACTACTCACAGACTTTTATACTACCTGGTGTTATTGAAAGATCACAAAATGTGGAACTATGTGTTTATACCACATGTGTGACCTTGGACAATCATTTTACCTTTCATGGCTTCCATGCCATCATTTAGGATATGATGAAAATAGTATTTTCTCTTCTAATCTCCAAGTCTTTTGATGATCACTTGAATGAGTGTAATCTGACAGATGTATAAAAACATGAAGGATTTTTGCTATGGTAGTACTCAGTGATCCTTGCCTTGGCATTTGCTTTATTTAGTTGCAAGCAGCAGAAAATGAAAAAGTACGGTGGGAACTAGAAAAAAACCAACTCCAACAAAACATAGAAGAGAACAAAGAAAGAATGTTGAAGTTGGAGAGCTACTGGATCGAGGCTCAAACGCTATGCCATACAGTGAACGAGCACCTTAAAGAGACTCAAAGCCAATATCAAGCATTGGAAAAGAAGTACAACAAGGCCAAAAAATTGATCAAGGATTTTCAACAAAAGTAAGCAGCCTCTAATGACTAATTTGTAATTTGAAGAATATTTATCTAAGTCCAAAGAAGCTTTACACCTAGTAATTGTGTACTATCTATTGCAATTGAAAAGATAACCTCAGAGTTACACTTCTTCAAAGCATGTTGTTGTTGTTAAGTGCTCTTGAGTCAGTTCTAACTCATAGCGACCCATAGATCATGTTTCCATGGAGCAGCTGATGGGTTTGAACCGCTGACCTTGTGGTTAGCAGTCTAGTGCTTATCCTATAAGGCACCATAGCCAAAAGTAGACATTGGGTTTTGGAAGCCACTTCTATCATTTTTTTAATTTTTTTTTACCATTTTTGATTGCCAGTTGCCTCTTGGTTTTGTGTGTGTGTGTGTGTGTTTGGATAGGCGGTCATTGATAATAATGTTCGAATCCGTTTATTCTTTGGTGAAACATCTCTGTGATTTAGAAGCAAGAAGCCTAGCTGAAGAAAAGCAGAATGACTTTTGGGTATGGTGCATGCAAAGTGGTGATTGTGGCCTTGAGCAAGCTGCTTTGATCTCTATGTTCTTAGAATTAATCACTGTGAAATTTCCCCACTCTAGATAGTGTCAGTGCTGACTGGCAAGCTCCCTGCCTTGCCACTCTGCTCAGCAGCTTTTCAGTGGATCCTAGAGACCTCAGTTCACTGCAGTGAAAAGGACTGTCATGATTCTCTGCTTTTTCATTTCAACACTCCTTTTTGAGCTAGTGCTCAATATTTGTTGGATATTGGTGTAATTTTAGGGACACCAAACAAGAAGGTTTTGACTGGGCATTTTCATCACTAACTTAAGACAGAGAAAATTAGTGCCAGTATCTTTTCGGGTCTTCTGTGCCAAGCTAAGCACACATGTGAGGGTCACTATATCTCTTTTATTTCCTATCACGGAAAGAAATCTTCAATATTTAAAAGGGGTTTCTATAAAATTTTAGAACCACGATGGTGTATGCATTGGGCTGTTAACACCAAGGTTGACAGGCTCTACCAGCTGCTCCATGGTAAGAAAGATGAGCCATTTTGCTCCTGTAGAAATTTACAACCTCGGAAACTCTATACAGGGTCACTATGAGTTGGGAATGATACGATGGCACATAGCATAAAAGTTTACTATTAAAAGCAGGGAAGGAAATTATGTTTTGCCGCCATGATTTGAGTAGATCATTTTTAACTCCTCTTGCCCCAAATATCATACCTAACTCTATTCCATCCCTTTTCTTTGTAAGTAGAATATGTAAAATTGCATATTTTACTTCGGGCTGTCAAACTAGAGATATTTCTACTCCCTATGTTATCCTTAGGTGTCTTTGGTAGAAAGCAATTCTTTTATGATTATCTTTTTGAAATCCTAACCATCCAGTTCTGTTCCATCTGTTTACCGTGTATGTTATTTTTATTGGTGCTAAGTGCTGTCTAGTCAGTTCTGACACATAGTGAAGTGGCTGGTGGGTTTGACCCACTGACCTTGTGGTTAGGAGTCCAATGCTTTTCCCATAGCACCACACCAGGATTCCTTACTGTGTATGTTGTTGTTCAGTGCCATCAAGTCAGTCTGTTCTGACTCACACCAGGAGCAGCTGGTGGGTTTGAACTGCTGGCATTGTAAATGTGGAATTAGTTTATCTGACTTGTTGTTACTGTGATTAAATTACCCAGAGTAGGTCATTAACGTAATAGCTTCTGTATATCTATTTATGAGACCTGGTGTGGTACTGTGGGTTAATGTGATGGGCTGCAAAGTCGGCTTGAACCACAAGGTCAGTGGTTCATGCTCACCAGCTGCTCCTTGGAAACCCTGTATAGGATTTCTGTGGATTGGAACGGACTCGGATGCACTTAACAACAACATATGGGTACTATGGAGTCCAGGTATGGGGCTGTCGGATAAAGCACTGGACTGCTAGGTTGGTTTGAACCACAAGGTTGGCAGTTCAAACTTATCATTTGCTCCTTGGAAACCCTATATAGGATTGCTATGAGTCAGAACTGACTCAGTGGCACTTAACAGACACAACAACAACATCAACATGGGTGCTGTAAAATCAGGAGCTACAAATGAAAAGCTTAGTAAACAGAATCGAAGCATTTTTCTCTATGTTGTGACCCATTAAAGGCATTTTAATTTTATTTCATGACTACATATATACCTTTCCCCTAACATTTTAGAAGGCAGGATGCCTACTTCTATGATTGTGTTTTGTTTACTTAGTAGCTGTCCAGTTCCCTATCTCATTGTAAAGTATACTGCTTCTGAACTTTCACACTTTCTTATCTGAGTGTTTGATGTAATCACATCTATCCTTTTCTTCTTAAGAGAACTTGATTTCCTCAAAAGACAGGAAGTTGAAAGGAAGAAAATAGAAGATTTGGAAAAAGCTCATCTCGTGGAAGTTCAAGGTCTACAAGTGCGGGTGAGTTGTGTTCTCAAAGTCACTAAATAAAGAAGTCATCTGAGCTGGTACTTAGAGAAGAATATTATGAATTAATTTGTTTCTCCTAGATTAGAGATTTGGAAACTGAGGTGTTCAGGCTCCTGAAGCAAAATGGGACTCAAGTTAACAATAATAACAACATCTTTGAGAGAAGAACATCTCTTGGTGATGTCTCTAAGGGAGATACCATGGAGAACTTGGATGTTAAGCAATCGTCTTGTCAAGACAGCTTAAGTCAAGGTTTGTTTAACCTCACACAAAAATTGTTTTTAATGACTGTATGATTTGTTCGTAACATTCGTCTTTCTCTTACCCAGCGATTTAAAAGGTGAGAATGCCTTCATACTATGGGAAAACAGAAAGGGCTTATCAAAATGTGAACCTATCATTTTAGCTGGTGTCTGTTTAAAAATAAATGCTTTAATGCTAAAAAAAAAGACAAAACTCCAACTAAAGTCAAACCAAAGATTCTTATTTTCAATCTATCATGAAAGTTACAGGCTTGATAAAATGCCTTCAAAATGGCAGTCTCATCATCTAATATGCAACTATTGGTCTCCTTCCATCTGGAGCACAGGAGAGTGAAGAAAACCAAAGACTCAAGGAAGCAGGTAGGCCAACAGACTGCTAATGGCTCCTCTAACTTGAAACCAGAAGAATTAAGTGGTGCTGCTACCACTACCTATTGTTCTTACCAGAGATGCAATAGGAGGTGTTGGTCAGAATGAGAGTATAATGTTGAACACAACTCAGATTCATGAAAAAAGACTAGATTTACTCACTCATCTGATAGAGATTGGAGGATTCTCTGAGATTAATGAATGCCTTGAGATTAATCAATGGCACTGAATTGTTATGTTGTTTGGGCATATATTGTGCGATGTAGATTCTCAGCACAACAGAATTAAGGAGATAAAGTGACAGTCTGCTCTGTATGGGGTGATCTGTACTAAACCCACAAACAAACCTGTTGCAGTTGAGTTGATTTCTACTCATAGGTACTTTGTAGGCCAAAATAGAATTTCCTCCCACAGAGCAGCTGGTAGATTTGAACCATCTACCTCTCAGTTAGCAGCCAAGCACTTAGCCATTGTACCACCATGGCTCCTTTAGGTATTCGTGAGGAAGGCTTACATTTTTAAATCACTAGAATAAAGATACATATATATATATATATATATACACACACACACACACACATAGAAGAGTGAAATTGAAAGAAAGCGTGAGACAGAATTGTCATGATAGATCTTACAACTCATGGGCAGTGATTTGACTTGCAGCAACACCTTGCTCACTTCTATTTTTGATGAATTTTCTCACATATTAACATGTCTCTAATGAGATTTTCCTGATAATCAAGTGTTTATGTTATATTGTTAACTTTAAGAACTAAACTCTTACCCACTGAAAAAATGAACAATTTGGAAGTCTTCATTTTAAATTAAAGCTATATGCAGATATTTGACCCCCACTGATCTGTCAGTTTGTTATACTGTGGTGGCTTCTGTGTTGCTGTGATGCCAGCAGGATAACTCATAGGGACAAATTTCAGTGGAGCTTCCAGACCACTTCAGAAATTAGCCGCTGGAAACCTTATGAATAGCAGCAGAACATTGTCAGATAAAGTGCTGGAAGATGAACCCATCATGTTGGAAGGCACTCAAAATATAGCTGCTTCTTCACAGTAAAGTTGACCTTAACAATGTGAATGGAGCAAAGCTTTCTACACCTTTATCTGCTCGTACAGTACTACTCAAAATGGGAGAAAAAGAAAAAAGGCTGCAAACATCCATTAATATTTGGAATCTGTGAAGTATGAACCTAGGAAAATTGGAAGTCATCAAAGATAAAGTGGAAAAAATAAAGATCAATATCCAAGATGAAATGGACTGGTATTGGCCAGTTTGAATCAGAAAATCATGGTTTAGTATTGTCAGAATGACAATTTGAAGAGAAATAGCGTAGCATTCATTGTCAAAGAGATTATTTCAATACCTATCTTAAATTAAAATGCTGTTCGTGGTAAGACAATGTCCATCCTGGCGTGGAATAAAGCACTGGACCACAAGGTCAGTTTGAGTCATGAGGTCAACAGTGCAAACTCACCAGGATTCCTCGGAATCCCTACACAGGGTCGCTATCAGTCGGAACTGACTCAACAGCACTTGACAACAACAACAAGTAAAACCAGTATTATTCAAAATTGCGTGCCAACTGTTAAAGCCAGTGATGATGAAACTGAAGAATTCAACCAACTTCTTCAATCTGAAATTTATCAAACATGCAATCAATGTACATTGATAATTACTGGTGACTGGAATGTGAAAGCTGGAAATGAGGAAGGATTAGTAGTAGAGAAATATGGCCTTGTTGATAGAAATTATGACACATGAATTATTTATTGTAAATCAGTTTTTTCAACAACATAAACAGTGACATCACCAGATGGAATACACAGGAATCAGACTGATTATATTTGTGGGAAGAGATGATGGAGAAGCTCAACGTCTTCAGCCAAATCAAGATCAGGGCCCTGCTGTGGAACAGAGTGTCAGTTGCTCATAAGCAAGTTCAAGCTGAAGCTGGAGAAATTAAAACAAGTTCACAAGTCCCAAAATATGACATTGAATATACCTCACTGAATTTAGAGAGAGCTCAAGAATAAATTTGATGCATTAGACACTAAAAATCAAAAACCAGAAGAGGTATAGGATGACATCAAAAGCATCATCCGTGAAGAATTCAAAAGGTATTTTAAAGGTCTGGAAAGAAAGAAAGGACCAAAATAGGTGTTAGAAGAGCCTAACTTGCTCTTAAAAGTAAACAAGCTGCAGCAATTGGAAGAAAGGAGGAAATAAAAGAGATAAATTTAAAACTTCAAAGGGAAGTTCAAGAAGACAACATAAAGTATTATATGAAATGTGTAAAGACCTGGAGGTAGAAAAGCCAAAAGAGAAGAAAACACTCAGCACTTCTCTAGCTGAAAGAACTGAAGAAAAAGTTGAAGCGTCTTTAGTATTAGCAATACTGAAAGAGTCTATGGACAAAATGTTGAATGATTCAGAAAGCATCAAAACAAAATGAAAGGAATACACAGAGTCACTGTCTCCAAAAAGATTTGACCATTTCGAGAGGGAGCATATGAACAAGAACCAATGGTACTGAAGGAAAAAACCCAAGCTGCATTAAAGGTAGTGGCTGAAAACAAGGATACAAGACCTTTTTAAAGTGTTGAAGAGCAACAATGTCAGCTTGAGGACTAAGGTACACCTGACCCAAGCCATGGTATTTTCA